AACAAAGTAGAGAATACGAAATTATGTAAGAGTTCTAAATGAATACAAGAATTATAAACAGTTAAAGAAACAGAGGAACAAACAAAATGAAGTCATCAGAAATCAACAAAGTTGTTACCATGATAGTAGAAGTGGTTGAGCAATTCTCTTTTGTATGCACAGCTCCGGTTTTTTAAGTGAATGGCCAGAGCTTCAGTGATACAAAGAAGACGAAACCGTATTGCCTTTCGTAAGTTATTCTTGACTCTGTAGATTACTTTGAAGGAGGCGTTTGTTGAGATGGCATGATCAGTGTTAACCAGGTATTCAATTATCGCATCACTATTGCCTTTTGCAAACACGCTGGATAGTGTTCTTGAATCCTTTTGGACAGGATACGCGTCGAACGACCGATGTACCTGGCTCCACAGCAGCAGGCGAACTGATATATGCACAAAGAAGTGGTCGGATGCGGGATCTTGTCTTTAAGGTTTCTACATATCAGTGGGCGACTGAAGAACAGTATTCTTAGCGTTGCTGCATAAAATGTTCTTTTCAGAGATGATGTGGCCCTTCTCTTGAGAATATCGCTTGTTAGATCTCCCTTGAAATCCAAGTTCATGTAGAGTTTCTTTTTCGGCGCAAGTGGAGTTTCATTTCTCCATATTCTTGGTTTGATATTTTTATCAATGAATTTTGGTGGGTATCCATTTTGGACGAAGATTTCTCACAGAAGATCTAATTTTGTTTCTAGAACATCGGGACTACAGGTGCGTCGGATGCGGGGAGTAAGTGATTTAGTTAAATCCCTTTTTTGTTGAATGTGTAACCAGCTATAGAACCTTGTTAGTTGACCATTCCAAGTAGCTTTTCTATGGATCGATCTTCTTAAGGTCCCATCAGTTCTTCTTATTAGTTCCACATCAAGAAAGGGAATTTTTCATCCGCTTTCCATTTCAAGAGTAAATTTTATTGCTGATTGGCGACAGTTAAATATCTGCAGCAGTAGGTTGAGGTCATTACTGTTGTCACAAATAATGAATATTTCATCTACGTATCTTTTATACAGTCGTAAACTGTCGATGCTCGGCTTTAGTGGCGCTTGCCACGAAGCAATCTGATAGTAGTAGACCCAACGGAGATCTCAATGCAATACCATCTTTTTGTCTATCGATGGTGTCGTTGAAAGTGAACTGTACGTTCGGAGTACATCTCAGTAGCAGTTCCTTCATATATGCTGTTGGTATTTCCAATACTGATATATATATATATATATATATATATATATATATATATATATATACAAAGCAGACCGTTTCCGTGAGTGGGCCATTGGTGAAAAGTGACTCAATGTCGAAGGACAGCATAATTTTGTCAGATACATTCACATCTTGTATGCAGTCGATGAACTGGAAAATGTCACGGAGCGAGTGCGTGCATAATTGTTTCCTTACAGGTCGAGATTCTTTCGAAATGAACCGATTATTAGCAGTTAAGATCATCAGGTTCTGTTATTCTCCGTTTATATGGTCTCTTCACAGTGAGGAAGTAAAACGGACGAGTGCGTAGTATTTCCCATATGAAAAATTCACCAGATTATTCTATCGTCAAGAGGCTCGTGCATAATTTTCAATCAGTCACAGATCATCTCAATACTTATAGTGTATCGGATTCATTTCGGTTCATTAATTCAACAAACTATATCAGTGTTCCACTGATACTATCTATGTAACTTATTTTAGTTTGACATATCATGATGACCAGAAAGCTATCTTTAGTTTTCTTCTCCCACCTCTCATTTTACAAATATATATAATAGGCTAGATTGTATATCACATGGTACTGAAAAAAAATTAACTACATAATTAATCAAAGGAATATAGCGCACAACTTACAATTCTATAAACTAATTTGAAGCAGCTGTACATAAAATATTTATTCTGTTTTACCACAAGATGAATAACTCTCAAATACTTACAGAAAATAGTCTAACTGATCTACAGTATACATAATAGTAATAATAATATTAAGCAGAGATATATGTGGATAGGCATAGGTTGTTTTCTGTTCGAACCATTAATTAATTCTACACTATTGTCTAGCTAAAGAGATATCTGATAACACTGACTGACTGATATGTTCCAACGTAGAACTTCGCACCGATGTGCAGCAGTTCAAGTTGCCACACTTCACTTAGCACACAAAGTCAGAGAAGAAAGTAGAAAGAAACGCAAAATACAGACAGTAAACAGATATATGAGGCAAAAAGAATAGCAATATCGAAGAACCGTAAAGTTTATTGGGTATTATAAGTCACAAGGAGTGGTTGCATCTGCACCAGCCATTGAGAACGATTTTGAACCATATTACCAATTCTTTCCAGCCATTAGTTTTTACCGTCACCAGGACCCCAACCAGGAAGTTTACACATTCCTACGTGGTTGGCTCAAACTAACTGTTATGGATTTCATTGACTGATGCCATGTTTCGGTTTGATCACCACTGGCTATTTTCCAACCTGACCCTATGTCAGCTAACATTGCCCGTCAAAGAAGGTGATGACTAAGCATGAGTGAGTAAGACACGTCCTAACCATTTCAATCGATGTAGCTTCACAGCCTCATCGATTGATTTCCCCTCTTTACCTAGCACTCGACGCCTAACATCAATATCGCTCACCCTATTATGCTTCGTAACACAGGAGATAGAACGCAGGCAACTATGCTCAAAGACAGCTAGTCTTTTCATGTCCTCCACTCTCAATGGCCAGGTCTCACAGCCACAAAGGAGGACTGCTGAGCAGTACACACGCCCTTTGGTCGACAGTCAGATATTATATCTACGCCAGAGATGACGTAAACTGGCATATGCGAAACAAGCCTTCTGTATCTGTGTTGAGATGTCGTTATCAATCAGCCCGTTGGGGGTTATGCAACTTCCCAAATAAGTGAAGTGGCCAACACGCTCTACCACTCCACTCACTATTTTCAAGCTAGGAGTGAATGCAGTCCAATCCTGTATCGTGATCTTACATTCAGCGAGAGTGAATTGCGTACCAAACATACACGGGTGTTCAGAATACTCTGCATTTTGTCAGCGTCTTCACCCACAAAGACTATATCATCTCCATATTCTTAGTCAAGGAGACCTGATAACACGGTGAGATATCGATTTATTTATCCAGTTGTTTAACCTTACTCCTCCCAGTCATTTATCTTCATTACTTAATGCGCCAATCCAACATCAGGACTATTCGTTCGCCTGAGGTATAGGCCTTCGTTATTTAAGAAATGAAAGTAATTCGTGTAACAGAGTAAACGAAAATAATGAAATGACTCACTGCCTTTGTGTAACACTGCTTTCTACATATAAGCATAAGAAAACCTAACACATAGACCAACCACTTATTACACTCTATCTTAGGTTGGTAAACTTTCTTTAATTTGCTCAACTGAACAAACGTAATACAGAGCACCTTGTTCACATGTGCCGATAACACAGACACGCACTGTGCTCATTTAGCATAGAATTTACGTATAACTGGAATTAATATCCTATTTCAGGATAGACTCGGTCGGTGGTCATGAACTAACATCAGTTAAAGAATTCACTTGACATCAATGAGGGAGGGGTAGGGGGGCAGCACTGGTTCTCTAGGTGATATCGTTTTGTGATAAAATTGGACTTGAAATCAACGAAATTGATTACAAATCCTACATTAGAAAAATACGGTTACAATGTGTACAGTGCATTATTTCATTTTATTATTATTATTAAACAAAGAACATAAATGTTAGACAATTATGTTGTGCAATGAATATATTTGAAATAAAGAAAAAAAAAAATAAAAATTATCAAGAGAATTTCTTCTTGTTTTATTTGACGAAGGACACAATGAGCTAATGGTGACTGTGACAATGTATTATGGTACAATTTCGTATTTAGATTATGTACATCAGAAAATGCACAAATAGTCAAATTTTTTAATTAAACAGCAGTTTATATTATATCGATAAACATTATTTCATTCATAACAATACACGAAACAATAAATGCAAAATAAACACTAACATAAATTATTACTTAGTAGGCTAAAGGATATATATATATATAACTAATCTTAGATTAAAACTGTGATGATTGCTTGTTGCATAAATGGAAGAAAGTATCACTAACACGGATACTCTACTGATTTTACTCTATAAATCAATTCAAAGATACAGACAAACAAATACAGATGTACAAAAAGTCAAATCAAATAATCCACTCCGAAGAATACTCACTGTAGATGTACACTGATGAAAGCAAGATGTGCAGAAATGTTAGACGTGTGGTGCTTATTTACTATTCTTCTTCTTCTTCTTCTCCTCCTGATTAATACTGATTTTATTTTTGCTTATCAGTTTCAAAATAAATGAACATCTAATAATAAAAAGAATACTGACTGATATATGTGTATATATTCCACAAAATGATGTATGAGGCAGAAAATGGGGAGGAGGAGACGATGGTCAGTGATTATCACTTTCGGGTGACAACCAACAAAATCAGTTATAGACTGTCCAATATTTCATGAAAAAAGAAGAAAAATTGAAAATAAAACCGTGCAAAATGAAAGGAAGTTATAACAACATTCTCTTCTAAGTCTTCCTTTCTTCATTTGTTTACGCTTCAGTATTATTTAAGAAATAGAAAAGATAAAAACATCTCTTATGATATTATCACTGATATTTACAAATATTAATGATGAGAAATTAATGTGTAATAAGGGGAGACAGAAGATTGGAGTATGCAAGAGGAAAAACAGAGATTACCGCTAAATTCAATGACTTAATTTATTAATTGATAGAGATCACCAATGGTGTTGTATCATTTCTGTTACTTTTCAAAGGGAGGATGTATTCAAAGAATACTTTTGAGAATAATAATCTGTTGAGGTTATAAAAAAAATGGTGCTCTACTGGTCTGAAGTTTACAAGGCGCTTTTCAAAACATGTATACTACGACGATGATAATAACGATCAACCAGTTTTTGGGTTTGTTGAAGAAGCATGTCTACCGGTAGGATTGCTCGTTTTAACACTATTATTATTGCTATTGACAGTGATGGGTGATACAGACGATTCCGTTGTTCGACTGTTTCGACTACTGACTATTTCTTTTTTACTGCCACTTTCAAAAATTTCTTGTAATTTACTGACCATTATTCTATTCGATGGATTGCATATTGGTCCTCGATGTGGATTGATCTACAAATTTTCAGAAGAGAAAAAGAAGACATCAGTGATATATTAGGATAAAAACTTGAATTTCTTTTCAAAGAGTTTAAAGATGAGTAAATTGCTTGATTTATACAAACAGACTAATTAATAATGAAGACATTTTTTCTGAAAAGTAAATTGATTAAATATTAATGATGTTCATAGATAAACAAATAGTCCCACTGACTGAAACAATATGCTATATATGCGAGCTTATTCACTCCAAAGGAATAAACATCGGTATACCCACCGAGCATCTTGAAGAACTCCTACTGAGGTGTACCCTGAATGTTCAATTCTCTTTCAACAACGAAATATATCGCCAAAAGGATGGTATAGCTATGGGCTCACCACTAAGCCCTTTGCTTGCAGATTTCTTCATGGCAAAACTCGAAAACACATGCCTGAAGAAAATGATCAATACCTTCGAAATCTATAAAAGATACGTCGACGACACCTTCATTATCGTCAACAACGAAGAAAATCTAGACGACATCTTGAAGTCGTTTAACAACTGCCACCCTGCGATTCAGTTCACGATGGAGAAAGAGTCCAACTCCACAATATCTTTTCTTGACGTCCAACTAACAAGAAAAGAACAGGATGGAACACTGAAAAATCTATCCACAGAAAATCGACGTGGAACGGACAGCTTACTAACTTTCACAGTTGGGTACCACTATACACCAAACGAAATCTGATCCGTTCACTCAGCTACAGAGTTCGCAGAATCTGCACCCCGGACACCATAGAAGATGAACTGGACAACCTCAAGAGAATCCTCGTCGAGAATTGCTGTCCAGAAAGATTTATTGCAAGATCTATGAACCCTAGACCAGAAAAGCCGCCCATACTTAGCGCCAAGAAAAAACTACTCTACATGAATCTTCAATTCAATGGAGATTCATCTGCGGAAACGCTAAAAAATCGACTGTCGCGCTCACTTAAGAAGACCTTCTTCGCAGCTGAACTACGACTAACCTTCTCCACAAAACCTATGATTCATGTGAACGTGAAGGATAAGCTACCGCTGCTGGCCTCATCGATGCGCATTTATCAATTCACCTGCTCGTGTGGAGCCAGGTATGTCGGCCGTACCCAGCGCTCGCTTTCCAAACGTATCACCGAGCACTTACCAACATGGTTTTACAAAGGAGAAAATCGATGCCCCCGCAGTTCCATCTGAGAACATCTGATAGAATCCGGACACCAAGCTACACCGCAAACAAACTTCAAAGTCGTCTACAGAGTAAGAAGTAGTCTCCCTAAAGGTGTACGAATCAGACTTCTTCAAACTGCAGAAGCAATGGCGATTCACTTGCTAAGTCCTGAACTCTGCATACAGAAGAAGTTCGTTCAATCACTACACTTGCAATGGACGTAATCTATCTTATTAGCCGACATGTAAATTCTACCTAATCTTTTCTTCTGTCTCTTCATTAGTATTATTTTGTCTTCTCAATTGTAACATTTTACATTTTCAACTTTCTTGTTCCCTACCCCCACCCGATTCAATTTCTACACCTCACTACCACTGTTACTGACTTGAACAACGCTCAGTTTCTAGTCATCCAACTTATTCACTCAATTTCACTTCTACTTAATCTCTACCTGTAATTACCTCTGTTGTTATCCTGACCTAAGTTGTAACATTTTAGCCAATTATATTACGTCATCTAGCTTTTTAACTCAATCTTACTTTAGTTGCTGTCTGATTAACTTTGTCTCTATACTACATCATTCTTGTATTAACTAATCAATTATCTAAACTTGACAAACCTCATGTACACACACAAATATTTATATATAAATGCGATTGTACAGCTATGTGAATGAATTCGCCGAAAAGAGTCTCTTCGCTGAATGTCTTCTCTTTTTCATATGACTCAATGGGGATTTTGAATCTACTCAAATTACACACTACACCACAACCAGTTATCAAATAAACACAGGTAAGCTAATCACGGACATGTGATCTGTTGTCTTAAGTACTTACCTCAAAGCAAACGTCTTCCGGGTTCGAACCCACTCCACATACTTCAGCCTGAGCAACTGAGTAGTATCATCAGCCAGCTCTTAAACAATGCAACGCTGATGGCCAAGTACATGAGAAATTTTTCCTAGTTAACTGAATTTAAAAAATGTATGGTATAATGTTAATGGTGCGTCGGTAGCATAGTGGTTAGGACGCTCGCCGACCATACACATGGTCCGGGGTTCGATCCCCGGCCGACGCACTCCTTTACCTCGCTAAGCCAGTAATCATGCTGGTGAAGAGGAAAGGTTGGGCATGAGGCTAGCAACCCCATCCTGTAAAATGAACACTGCTACAGAAACTTCAAGCCACTAGCTTGAAGCCCTATGTTCCACTGGGGAACGTGAAGGAAAAAAAAAATAATGTTAATCAGAGAATCACTGAATACCAGGGTGTATTAAACAGTCGTCTATTTTAGTTAGAAGCTATTTAGCAATAGACACCAATCAACCTGTGACGGATCAAAGTTAATAACCATCACGTTATGAATATTTATAATAAATAACAATAATAATAATAACCAACTAACCTTTTCATTTGGATATCCATTAATACAGGTTATTTCGGTTAACTGATTCATCCCCAGACTTTGAAATCGACGAACAATTTTCGATTCACTTATTTTATTATTATTATTATTATTGCAAGTAGAAACTATATTACTGATTGGACTAGGTGTTATTTCCAATTCTTTCACTGCTCTAGAAACTACACCAAAGGATGAACTAATATTTTTATTTGAGGTTTTTGAGCGTTCACTAACTTTACTTTCCATCTCTTTACTGGTTAGCTGAACAAAACTAAGCTTTTGATTTGTTGAAACAGTTGTAACAGTAGACGTTGAGGATGATCTATGATCGGAGGAAGTCACTTCAGTCTATAAGAATGAAAATGAAAACAAAACACCATTATACTAAATATCTTATATGTGGCAAAAGTATAAAAAAATATGGCGTAACAATAACAGGACTACGTTTGGCTTCTAGACTGTCAGAGACACTTGATGAGTGAGTGTTTGGGGCAATATATCCATTGTGTAAGTAATAGTAGTAGTATTTAATAAGTGAGAGAAATATACAGAGTAAAGGTATAACTAAAAGGAGTGTGAAATTCAATGAAGTGAGTCACCATATCGGCCTATGTGAATATACATTATGAGGTGAAAATCTTCGACAAGAATACTTGATGAATGACTACATGTGAATAAACTCATTTCACTGACAAAATAAACACCTACATATGTCAATTCGATGGAGGTCTTATGACGGTAATAAGAATGATCAAAAGCTACCAACCAGATAACACTATCACAGTGTAGACTTAAAGATTTCAGAGAGCAGGATTTCAAACATTTGAAAGTTGTGTTTTAGTCTCTTTGAGTATTGAAACTTATCATCAAGGTTCATTTATAAGCTTCGAGACATACATTTACATTACTCAGTGTTGAAGTCAGAGACTTTGTCATCTATGTTATTGTAGCTACAAAATTGATCATGTAAGTTAGAAAATGATCTAAATAAAAAAAGTGGAACTAGTGTGACGTGTTCTGTTAAGTAAACTCGTGCTTAAACGTCTGAGCGATAATCGATACCTACTTATATAACTTTCTATTTAACACAAAGCTTAATAAAATCTTTTTAAATTTACAAGTTTTATTCAGTTGACTAACAAATTAATTATAACAGATATATTTCTCTCTTTTTTAAAAATGTAACAAGTGTTTTGATTCGTGTTCATCATAACTTCTAATTTGCTATCCTGAAGTTGAATATATACATATATAACAAATAACGAACAAGTACTTCCTAACTGGGATCGGTTTTCAGTTGACAGAAGGAGCATAAAAGAAAGAAAGAAGAGCACACCAAGATGTTCTTTTATTCGAATTTCAGTGAAGAAATGTATTTGAAGAGTCCTTTGATTTATTACAATTTCTTTAAAGCTACATTTCACCGACGTATGTTACATCTGTGAAAACTGTGTAGAAGAAAAATCCCACGTGTAATGTGCGTAAACACCTTTGAAATGGGAGTGTGATGAAGTTTTCAAGACATCAGAACATTTTATACGTTTCAAAACAATGATGACTAATTCAAAAAACTTTATCGGCTACCATATTAGTTTGTTTATTAGGTATATCACACAGTGAAACAGTATTATTTACTGGATGACGTTTCGAACAAAATTTATTGTTCATCATCATATCAATTGTGATCACACGACTTTGACACTTGAGTTTTATAGCTTTCTTTGTTTTCTCCAATTTCTCGTAGGGGGAGTAGAATTTTCCATATATCGGGGACAGGTGATGAATCATTCCTATTACATGTATTTGCAGTTGATTCAATAAACAAAGCTTCTGTTATCAATCTCTCCCTATACCCTGTGACATTAGATTTTAAAACTGTCATCCTATCCCATCATATTGTATGGTTGTGTGTGACTGCATGTAGTGCTATAGCTGAACTATTCTCTAGATTTCTTATTTTATTCGGGTCAACCAATCTAGATTTTGCTAAGTTTTTATGTTCAGCTAGTCTGACTGCCCCTGTTCTACAAGTTTGACCTATGTATTTGACCTGACAATCATTGCAGGGTATTAGATAAACTAAATTGTTTTGTTTTATCGGCTACCTACTCAGTAATCAGTTCGTGTATAGTCTCCTATGAATCAGTCATGAAATGAAGACTATAGTGATAGAGTCTTTGATTTCAGCAGGGAGTGACACAGGTTGAAACTAAAAAGAGAAATATTAACTCCCTTCTGAAAGATACTAACAAACATGAAGTCAGCTTTCAGTCGACTATATGCTAACATCAAACTAAGAGGTGAACAACACTGTTAGTATAGTGTCAATTAGCTTAGCGCCGTACTTTAACGGAACAATTTCGATCGATACTTATGATTAAATGATTACAATAGTTACCACAAGGTAAATTTCTTTGAATGATCCTAGTTTATGACAGATTTTGAACTAACCAAAATTTGACGGAGTATACTATCAAGTGAAATAACAGTTTGGGAATTAACATTACACAGTTTATCTTTCCAGAACAACAAAAAACTATATTGATTTATCATCCGAAATGGTCGTTCCCTATGCTAGCTGGGAAGCGTACTACAATTCACATAAACACATACACGTATATCTAATTAATACCCATTGAATATCACGCAAATTATTCTCAAGTAGTCTGGAACATACAAATCATTTCTAGTAATCACAGTTTGATATTTCACTTCAACAGAGAATTAAAATATTCAGAAAATAAAATGATCTCACTTCTAAAGAAAAAGATTATTCAAAAGATAGTCAATCATATTGCATAAAGGTATTTTAACTCAAGTATAATCAGTCACCTGATATATTGTCGTATTTACAGATTGATAGGAATTCACTTTGTTGTCCACTTGTACTTTAGACTTTAAATCAGTTACAGATTTAGGCAGATAGCACAATGTATTAGTATTGTGAGTTTTATCACTTGAATAAACTGATTTATCATTATTTGATATTTTAGAATTTGTTGAACCAGTCTCATTATGATATGTAAAAGTAGTGGTAGTGGTAGTAGCTATTGTTGTCGTTGTAGTAACATGTCCAGTGGCGGCAGCAAATGCTGCACCCAATCGACCAATAATATTGTTTTGAAGGGTTGTACGCCAACCACCTGCATTGGTATTACTAACAGATGAAGACTTGTCAGCTAACAAACTATTGGAATTACTCGGATTTATTGCAGGAATACCTTTAAAAGTCTTCATACTAGTTGTGGGAGGAGGCGAATTATACGGAAATGAGGGTGCGCTATCAAGAAATGAATTCATTGGGCTGGATTTCTTTACATTAGATAGTGGAGTGAGGGAATTCGAAGTAGAGATACAATTACTGTTTTGGTTTTCACTGGCTATAAATGAGAAGAAAAGAATAAAAACACAAGAGTTATTACATTAATTACACTTAAGAGAGACAATGAGGAATAACACCATTCGTATATACAGTTATCGAGTGCTGACAAGAGATGAAACACGTAGGAAGAAAAAAGAAAAAAAAACCTACCGGGTGGTAGTGGGTTTTTCATTTATCTAGCTGCATAGTTTAATGTTCTGTGCAACCACATTACAGAAATATGAACTCCTACCAACTTCTACGCACAAGTTATGTGATAGGAAAGCCTAACTGTGCAAAAGAAATTTTTATGCATAACACTGGTTAGCTTAGTACTGCATTTTAAAAACACTCCACTTTCAAACAGCAGACTGTGAACTGAAACCGTACACTATCATTTTAAGTTTAAGCAATGAGAGAATATGACCGGGCTTCAAACAATAAATAAATTAAATGGACATATACCTGGTTGCGGATTCATTCTCATAGATCAAGTGTGGCTGATACATAACATTGTATTATGATACTACGAGTGTCTGACAGTAGTGATCAATAAACCGACCTAATAGTTTAGTTCTTTTGATATTAAATGTGAAGTAGTAGATTCTGATCCTACTCTAAAGTAGTAGATAGATTTCAAGCAAAGAGGTCTTAATAAAGTAATAAGCTCGTAAAATGTAATTGTGAGATAAAAGCTTCAAAACTAAAAAAACAAAATATATCCGTATTATATGCCAAATATTCTACTCATGCAGTCTACAGTTATTTAGGTGATTCAAACTGTTAATCAGAGAACAACGTTAAATCACTATCTGGTCACCATCAGCTTTCATTCAACTGGCTTCTAATCTAGTCAACTTTATTCAACGATAGCTCGACCTACATGAAATATTCAGTAACTACTTTATCTCTTCAAACTTCAGTGAATATGTTTCATTAAGAGAGTAGAATAGAATAGGTTAACATGTAACATATCTTTCATAGGACAAGCGTAAAAACAACACTCAACTGCCGAGGATACAATATACTGTTTTCTTCTTTAAAGAGACTTGATAAGTATACATGTATGCTTTATCATTAAAGGAAATCGTGTACAATAGTACATAAAATCAAATTTATATAATTTTGGAAATGATTAACACACAAAAAAAAAATCCAAAAGATATCCAGATTTATATAAGCAGTCTAGTGGTAGCAACTCACTACATCGTATCAAACATTTTGATACAGCTATGTCAACACAAATGAAATAAAATAATAACTACTGAAAGGGAAAATTTCTTTTCATTCTCTGAATATATAATACACTTCGGTGTAACACAAAAAGACGTAAATTTTATATTAATTACTTGTCCGCTTACTTTTAGAATTGATTCCACGTGAATCAACATGTGATGGTGATGGGTTAGAATTTGTTGAATGAGCAATACCAGAGATTTTACAGTTGGAAAGATTTTTCGCCTGTATAACGTGATTGACAAGTGGAGTTTTATCTGTATTGGTATTTTTATTATTATTATTATCGTTACTATTATTATTATTATGACTGGTATTGGTAACAGAAGCACAATTATTGTTATTCTGGCTATTTGTACTCTGCTTTGAATCATTTTTATGTGGTTGTTTATTTCCAACTGGGTTATTTGATGAAAGTGAATCACCTTTTTCTGGTAATGCATGATTAAATGTATTGTTAGTATTATTGTTATTATACTTGCTGACATAATTATCCGGTAATGAGAATCTTGGTTTTTCATCCTGTTCAAGAGCAAACGCGGGTGATGTAGGAGAAGATGGAGGTTTCTGTGACAAGAAGGCAAAAACAGAGACAGGGAATATGGTTAAGAAAAGTATTAGAGTGACAAATGCGAATTTTATATGTTTTAGTAAGCTAAATACTGAATCACAAAATCCGGTAGTGAAAACTAGCCAAGATAACAGCTGAAGAAAAATTGAGAACTATTTGAAATAAAGAAGCATTTCTCTGAGTGACTGGGTTTCAAGGTAGAAATTCGCACAGAAGTGTAGCAGTTCAAAGTTGCCACACCCAATGTAGAATACAAAGGAAGAGAAAAGAAAAAGTTTAAAAGAACTATGCAGAGGAATCTACTGAATTGTAGATCTATTCAGTTTACTGAGCTGCGGAAACGACAACAATTGCAGCCCTTACGCTATGGAAGAGGAGCTCAACAGCCTGAAAAGAATTCCCATTGAAAATGCCTCAAACACCAAAACCACCTTCATTTTCTGCTACTAGAAAAATTCCCTACCTGAATTTGCAGTTCAGTAGATTCTTCCGCAGCTTTATCCTGGAACATCTGGTCAAATCTAGACACCAAGTCAACCCGTAAACGAACTTCAATGGCATCTTCAGGACACGCGAGAATTTCGCTAAAAGAATACGAATTGAGCTTCTTCAAACTGCCGAAGCGATGTCAATCCACGTGTTACATCTAGAACTCTGAATACAGAAGTTTGTTCAGTCGCTAAACCTACAATGGAGGTGGTCTGTCTGAGAACGGGATACGTAACTTTTGTTTCTAATTGTATTATTTTCTCCTCTCACCCTACATTAAATTTCTATCCCTTATTACTACTACCATTGTTAACTTGACTCTCGTTCAGTTTTAACCGAATTCTACCCAACCCCAACAATTACATTACGTCGCCCAATTCACCTATTTAACTTCACTTCAGTTGTCAGCCGATTATCACTACGTATTAATTCCTATATTACGTAGTTTTTTTTATCTACAATTTACATCTTAAGAAATATTCCTTTTGTTGCTGAGAGAATTTATATAAATATATATATATATATATATATATGTAATTGTGCAGCTTAAGAATGATATCTCTGAGTAACTCTTCGCTGAACGCCTTTTCTTCCATATGTCTTAATGGGGATTTTTAAGTCGCTCAAACGCTGCAAACAATAAAGAAACATAAAACAGAATGAAACAGCTTAGTTTATTCATTAAATCAACAACTAATGCATGAAACAACGATGACTCAACGCCACTAATATGACGGAGAGAGAGAAAGGAACAGAAACACTAGAATATAAGAATGGGAAAAGACTATAAGAATAATTTGATATGATAATGAAAGAGCCATTGCATTCAAATATTGACTTAGTAAATAACATGATTCTGATATATATATATATATATATATCATCTCGTAGAAATAAGAGTAACTACATACATAGTCTAAAGTCAGAACTTTTCTATTGATATCAGAAGTGTATCTATGAGATCAGCGTATCATGGATCGTGTAACATCCCATAATGTACTATTAAGAGGCTATCATAAATTGCTCCCATGAGTGGATCACCTAACATTGTACAATGCCATCGTTAGGTCAACAGGAGACATGTTATGAGTCAGTTCCCCCACGTGACCTGTAAACGAGGCATTTGGCCCTCAGTTACATTAAAGGTTACGCCAGTGGATTTCTATTGGTACATACTAACGAGTGAAAACATAGTTTTTATATCTTACACTAGTAACTTACTGGTTGTGGAAGATAATCCTATAAAAGCTGTAATGTCTGTTGATATTACTTTTTGCATGAAGCAATAAATCAGTGCCTTCTCACAGTCAGCTGTCTTCTGTATCTTTCTCAATGTCAGAATAGCATTAAAGTGATTAGTGGTGTATTGTTGTATATTAACAGTAAACAGTAAGAAATAATTCAAATTCCAGTATTATTATCACCAGCTACAACAACTATACAGGCCAATTCTCAGAATCGAAGTTGATGTAAGCTGATAAAATGCATGTATAAATTTAAGCTAATCATAATACACTAAAGTATATTGAATTAAATCAAGAGAATAACTGAAGTCAGATATCCGTTAAATATAATGACAACACAATCATGATAGAGATTTCACCTTTTAAAGATAATATGAAGTTTGTTTTGATGTATTGTATGTCATTCATTTGCTGAGAATAAACAATTTAATCATATTTGATACACAACTCTACATTTCCACACAAGTTAAGTTAGAATGATTCAGATAATCAACCACCTATCTCTCTCTCTTTCTGCGTTTGTTTAAATAGCACGGCAACTTTACTACGTTATTACCTCTTAAGAAAGCATAGTAATAAACATTTCGTCAGTATATTAGGCAATAAGAATACTTTAAGAATAAGTCGGATATTAATGAAAAATGACTTACATTAATCATTTACGTAAATGAGAAATAAAAGAAAGAAAAAACTTTCTCTGACTGTTGTCAATCCTTGACCTAACTTGAAAAAATAGAGTGAAGATGTTATCTGACATATATGATCTATTTTTACCCAAGAATATCGGTCTTACTTCGTTAAGTATTACTTATTTTCATAATTATCATAGGTATTTTAGCATCCTCATCTTTGCGACAATCTTGGATTTTAAAGGAAGTTAATCTACACAAAAACATAACTTAGGCTGATGAGTCTCGTGTTTACTACGATTCCTTATCGAGCTTATCTGCAAACTTCAGGAGTTTGAAACTTGAGTCGGTCATTTACAAATTATCGAAGCCAACAATTAGGTATGCATACACTGTAGAATTGAAATAATGATATCATATATGGTTGTTTAATCTTAACTACTTCAATCGACATTCGCCGATCAGGTGTGTAATGAAATGACACTGGTAGCATATTTAACTTAAGCATTTCGCACCAACATACATTAAGTTCATATCTAGCGTAGCATACGCCAATAGCTTAATGAACATATTGCTTATCTTATCAAAAGGCTACGATCAACACTTAAGATGGGATAATTACACTGATTTTAATCTGTGTTAATAATAAGTGTTATTCTAAACTAAACTAGAATTTTTAAGAAAATTTGTAGTAACATTTTTGGTGGTGGAAATCAAGGAGTCCATTTATATATACATATATATATATATATATATATATATATAATCTGTATTACATTGAATAGGCATGAAACAACAACACAAACAACAAAAAGAACAGAAAAAGGATTATAGAACAGAAATAAACAAATCAATGATCTGTGCTTACATTTTGTTGATCTCCACTGTTATTCACAGATAACGAATTACTGTTTGGATTTGTAGCTATAAAATTTCTTAAACTGGACAATTTTTCTCTACTTATCAAACTGTCACGTCGACGATTAGACTGTTTATTATCTTTAGGCTTAAAAATAATTAGAAAAGAACAGCAATAATAATAATACTGAGGAAATTAACAGTAATTACTTCGGCAAATATAACTGAAACAATCAGTAGACATTATAATAAATGTCACACACTTATTCTCCCCTTAGGATTTAAATAAAGCAGGAACGGTTTGTGCAGAATGAGATGGTGCCATCACTTATTCCGTTGACTTCTCATCATCTGCGTACAGCCTGAAGAAATCATTAGGTTTATGTGCAGAACAGTTTTGACATACTTGCAAATGTTACATGAGAAAGGTATCTATTGACCTTCGGTTGCACCGAAGAGTATATTGTCTGATAAACGGGAACCAACTTAGTTGCAGAATAGGTTTTAGCTGGTGACATACTCTATCTTCTGTTGACTATTCCTGCAATACTGTAAACTTTAAAATCGAGTTGAATGAAAATAGGCTTTTCTCTTATTATGATTTGTTTGGCATATGAGCTTTCATATCTTCCGTACTTACTGACGAATTTCTGAGGGTAACCACTGTTTTTCAACATCCTTTGGAGAAAACAAAATTCTTCCTCTAATTTCTTCGTGGAGTATATTGTCCTGGCCCTATAAAACAGAGTTTTGACCAGTGCTCGTTAATAGCTGTTTGGACAGAAAATATCAATATGTAAGTATTGTCCATTCAATATAAGCTTTCAGTAAACTGATCTCCGGAGACTACCATCTTCCAAGTGTTGTATGACAATGTCAAGGAAATGAAACTTTCTATCACTTTCATGTTCTTTAGTGAATTCTATTTTAGTATGTGCGTTACTGAACAATCCAAGTAGGTAGGGCGCGTGACTTTCACTGTTGCATATTACAAATATGTCATCGAGATACATTTCCAATAAGTTGTTTCACTGATTCCAGGCTTCAAACTTGTTCTCTTAAGGTTGGATATGAATGTGTCTGCGAAAACAAGACTAAGTGGACTGTCCATAGCTACGCCATCTGTTTGACGGTGAAAAGGATTATCAAGCTGGAAATGTACATCCGTGGTACACATTAGCAGTAGGCATTTAAATTCCAAATGCTAACAAATGATTTGGATAGTTTAATTGATTGGGATTCTTGTGAACAGGGAGGTTACATCAGATGACACCATGAACTTATTTGAAACGTTCATTCGGTTCAAGCTTTCGGTGAAATAAAATGAATCTCTCAAGGTGCACACAAGTAGCCATTGACGAATGGGTTACGACTTCTTTGCAAGCCAACGAGCGATCCTGTGCTGAGACAGGTTGATCATAGAAACTATAGGTCTCCAGGGAACATGTTCTTTGTGTGTTTTTGGAAGAACATAGATGTAAGGCAAACGGTACCCTCGGGGTTTTAAATCATTATAAGCATCGTTGTTAATCATTTTCTTCTTCAGAAGATCTCTTAATACGCTTGTGCGTTTTTTTTAACTGCATCCGTCCTATCTTTCTGACAATTTTTCACTTTAAGCCTCAACAGGTCATTTAGGACAGTTTTCACATTTGCAATATAGTCTTTTTTGTCCATTAGCATTACCCCTGAGCCTTTATCAGGTCACAGTATGAAGATTTTGTCATTATTTTTTAGAGCTTTTAGTACTCTTTAGAAAGGATTTTGGAATATGACGTTGGTGAAGTTATGCATTGATTTCCAACGTTCACTAGCTTAGATTTGAATCAGCTCTTGCTGTTCTCATCAAATGAACTTAAGTTATTCGGTTGATAGAGTAAGTCTTCGAATTGAGTTACTACATCGATTCTTTAGAGAAATTTATTCGGAATACGAAAGTTAAATACGAGGGAGGGCGCTTCTATTTCAATGCAATTTAACTTCACACTCGACACATTGCAAATAAACTTCTCAGGATTTTCTGGAAAGTCGTCATACGATTTCTCCTTTGTTAAAGATTTGGACAGAGTTCTATAAAAGTTTGCGCATATTTTGTTTCTATGATTTGACTTGAACCCACTATATTGTTACTGAATTTATTAGTTACTCATCATCTGATCCACCTGTTGTCTTTATTACGCAACTTCTTTGCCAGTGTATTCAAGTATTTATTTTTATTAAACCTGAACTTTCTGCGTATAAACTATGTAGATATAATTTCTCAGCATTGTTTATAAGTTCGAAGTCTTTTGCCAACTGACGTTATGCAACATTTACAAGTATGTCCAAATTGTTCTGTACATAAACTTAATGATTTCTTTAGACTGTACGTAGATGATGAGAAGTCAACGGAATAAGTGATGGCACCATCTCATTCTGCATAAACCGTTGTTCTTGCTTTATTCAAAGTATAATAAATATTCGGTAACTAATAAAACCTTAGTACTATATATACATATATATCTTCAGGATGAGAAACATTACGGTAAACAGCTGTTCTCAATAAATTCTTCTACAGATTTTACAGTTATAATGATGGATACCACACACAAGTATTTCAAGTTACAAAGGTGCAACTGCCACAGATATTAAAAAATGTCGATCGATTGAGAGAACATTACCTGCAGGTAAGCTGGTACTCGGTTTCTAAACTAAAGCAGTACTCAAACAACGAGTCAAAGATACTTTATCAATGATGGCTTCGCCAATGTACAACTGTCAGTTAAACTGCTCATATGGAGCTAGTTACACAGACTATACTCACAGAACTTTATCTTTGCGGGCGCGTGAAGATGTATCTGTATGATTGGGTAAAGGAGCGACCAAATGCGTATACAGTGCGGTTCTAACCGACTTGGCAGATACTGGACATTCAATAAAACAGGCATTTCCGGTGATCTATGGTGTCCCCAGTATTCTATCTAGAGGATCTGGTCTATGTATCCAGAAGCATACCCAGCTGCTTTATTTACCTTGGCCTACAATAAGGTCAACGAATCCTCCGTAAACATTGATAATTAACACCTTATATCCCTATTCCATTTTTTCTCCTTCTTTTTTTCTGTTTTATTGACAAACTTTTATTTCGGACACACTACAACTTCATGACCTTTCTTATTTTTTGTCTACTACCTTAGGTTTACGTAATGCTTTTCAATCACTTTCCACCTCATTAAATTTTTTTGTTATCTGATAGAAGTTCGCCAATAGTCCTTTTGTGTTTGCATCACACCAACGTCACTACTTTATCATTATTATTTCTTTTTTTTTCAACCCCTTGAACTTATATTTATCTAGCGTATCCCGTTTGTTGGTCTATTTCTCTATGATATGTATGCTGTCCTACACCTGAGACCACCTTTGTTTATTGGAAATACACAAACACACCAATAAATTATTTAATTTCATTTTATCTCACGTCCCATATTGTCTACACATTTTATATGAATTTAAATGATAATCAAAACACACTGACTGTACCTACATCACAATACACTTTCGGAATTAATTCTAATGTGCTTTTACTGGCTATTCTATGCTAAAACTAAATGGATTTATAATTGTGGAGCCTATAGAATCTATTGAAAAATACTGTTCGCTCTAGTTACTCTTGTTCTGGATAAATGATATATATATATATATGCATGCTCTAAAACAATTCGGATGAAAAAGCTGACAGCTTTGAAGCATCTATACTTCGTCACATCGTTACTATGTTTGTTAAGGAAACCTGCAGTAGTAAAAACACCGGAATTTTTAGATATCTTAAAGTGGATATCAAACTGGTGAGTTTTATGCGTAGACTATAGTTAAAAATTTAAACGACGTTAGATATTCTGATAATAATAAAAATAATAATTGGCATTTGTGTTCCAGAAACGCACAGAATGAAAATCAAGTGGAATTACTCACAACCACATTTAAAACCTGGTTGGTCTTATTTAATTTAATGTTAGTAGACTAGAAATACGAAGATTTTAATAGGACTTGGGATATCAGAAACTTAGTTAATACATTTTTTCCTTCTGTGATAATTTTCTTATTTAAATACTGGGATAACTATTGGTTGTGAGACCACTTTAGGGGAATTATATCTGACTTTTACAGCTCACTTAAAATTGCAGTCAGTTTGATGTATTACCTTGTGTATTCATTATTGATTGCTTTGAATTAGATCACCAGTGTCTGCCTACTCTTCGCTACTGTCTTCTGCGTTTCATTATTCATGATTAATGTTGCTCACTACTCACTCAATAATCACATGATCAACTATTTTTGTTAAGGTACTTCATTAATGATTGCTGGGTATATATTTCTTTATAAAGCAAATTAATCATTTCCTTTTCTTATTATTCATCATTCCTACAGTGATTACTCAGTTACTCGTTAGGGTTTAATGGAACTTTCAAGTGAAGCGAATTCAGCAACTAACACCCACCTATAAAAGCATTCTTCCTTGTTTCTAAATCATTAAAATAATTTTGTCAGTACATTTAATTACCAATATGAATGTAAGGATTCATCTGCATTGCAGCTTAACAACAGCTATCTGTCTGTATTACTTTTATTTTTGATGAATACTTTCATTCAATTCAATTTCGGATTTTCCCGTCGATTGATTGGACCGAGGTGCTCCCCGTCTCAGGTTGAAATGTTGGCTGGTTGTGCAGATGCTTCGACTATGTCTAGTCATGTGCCTTGAAGTCAATCGGTGGGTGGTGACTAGCAGTAGAATCCATGATAACGCGCATTTCATCCTATTCGGGACTCGTCAACTGGATGTACCTGCATTCCTAGTGAGTGATGGTGTTCGCACCGAGGTTCAAACCCAGTGCCCATAGTCTCAAACGCCAAAATGTTATCTACTATGCCACTTGAAACTATGGGCAATGGGTTTGAGTCTCGGTGTGAACACCATTACTCACTGGGGAATGCAGGTACATCCAGATAACGAGTCACAAATAGGACAAAATGTGAGTTATCCTGGATTCCACTGCTAGTCACCATCCACCAATTGATTTCGAATACTTTCATTGTTTAAACCACTTTATTAACATAGTGAATATTATGATTGTAACAGTAGTATTGAATGATGCTGCTCATAAGCAGAGGAGTATTAGAGACAGAGAGAGAGAGAGAGTAATACTGCATCACTTATTCTGGATACTGGATGAATGGCTGACCATATAACAATAGTAGTGGACTTCAAAACAAAACATTTTTCTCCGCTAGGCTAGAAAAAGTTATTGTAGCATATTTTAGTAATACGAAGTGAATTTTCGGGGTTAGAAATTTAGTAAAGTATGTTACTTCACAGATAAGTGAAATGCACCGACACTTGAGAGCCTTAATTGCATTCCAATACACAGACCACATCAAGAACAACAGTCTATACTTACTTTTATCCAAGGATGTTGAAGGCATTCGTTCACTGTGGCTCTTTTTCTGCAAAATATAATCAAGAGAACAAAAAGTAAGAATTTGGAAAGATAAAAAGTAATGAAGAAAGGAACATGTCAACAATGTCTAAGCACTTGGATCCAGCATTGGGAAATTCAAAACAATTTCAGTATAAAATAACATGTGATACCCATGATACAAGAGATGACTATCAAAATTCAGCAGCTTAGTGGATAACACTTTGGTGTTAGAGATTTTGGGTTCTAGGTTAGAGTGTCAGTGGAAGCATCGTCACCATCGTCTCAGATGCCGGTATATCCGGATGATAAATCTCAAAAGAACAAAACAGGCTGGCTACTACCAACCAAATAATACCGAGTAAAAACTTTTTTAATGATTTCAGACCAAATATAATATGAGGATCATACCTTTCTTCTACGTGATAAAAGCATGCAAATTTGTTACAACAGGTTTTTAAGGGTAGTAAAATGAGGAGGTAGATAAACTGTGGACTAACAAGAGGTGTGCATAATGATAATGACTAAATACAGGCAATGGAAGTCAAATATCTAAAGAAACAGAGGTGATAGGTAATTGCTTAAAGATACTCAGGCATTAGGAACCCACGAATTAGTGAGACTGGAATAAAGATAGGTCAATGATTAAGAATAGAAGAAATTTGAACGACAGACAAAAAAATTTGGGGAAAAGTCCAATTGGATCTCCATTTTGTTGCAACTTGAATAGGGAAATGACATTAGACACGCAATATTTGTAAGTAATCTTAAATGATGGCGTGAAGCAAGGCCTTATGATTGTGGAATCCAGAAATCCGGGGATCTTTTTATCCAAGATAACTTCTTTGTAATTACCACAGGGAGATTTCTCTCGTCTCTTCAACATTAGGACAACCAGTGGTTGAGAGAAGAAACAAGCAGTTATATTTGACCGCCCATTTATCAGCCAACTCAGGTACAGTTTCTATCCCACTATTCTTAAACATAATTCACTAAGAGTCTCAAATCTACCACATCTCATAGCAAATTTTCTGACGACTCCAGAAAATCTGTATTTAATTAATCTTCAATATCTTTATCTGATTTAGAGTTGGAAGACTTATCCATGTGTGTAACATTTTGCCATATAAACCACAATAACACCATACATCCAGCTCATGTACAATTGGAAAATTTAATCAACCAAGCGAATGACGCAATCCTAGTCAAGTCAACCATCATCGATTGTTTTCATCAATAGCTCAACACAAACACAAAAGCCCGTAATCATTTAAAAAAGCAGCATCAAGAACAGTTACGGCAGCTGTAAGCTAACAAAGATCTACTAACAATCCGTCCTGACAATTGCAATGGTGTAGTCTTTACAGATTGGAGAGAGAACATAGAGGAAATGAACACCATACTCTCAGAAAGCAACATATTTTCGCAACCGCTCAACGAAAGAAATGAAACAGAACAGATTTTGAAACAGTGGGAAAGATTTGAAGCTCAGGTAGATGATATTGACTCAGTTGTGTTCTCTGAGCTGGTCGATTTAATTGCTAAAGTTTCGTCGTCCTTCTAGACAACATTTTCAACGAAGCTTTCGGTATAAAATGAACTTATTTCAATTCTCTATGAATGATGTAATTGTATATCCTGGCAACCATTGTCGTGACTGGCTGTTAATTTACGTCCCTGTTGATCATCTTTATTGACTTGAAATTCGAACCTTCTGTCATGTGATTTACTTTTTTATTAGCTGATAAAATTGGTCTATAATAATGTGTTTGTTAATCGCTGGTTTGGATTTGGATATGGAGGGGAAGCCCACTTTGACCAATGTAATGTTTATTGCAGTTCATACAATTTATTTTGTAAATGGTATTAATTTTATCTTCATTTTCTGATCTTTTGGTTTACGCGATATCAAATGAAGTGATTGTACTGGTTAATATGCTATTTCTATTTCAAACGGTTTTAATATTCTAGCTGTTATTTCAGAGATAATTTTTATATATGATCAACAGAGACGTAAATTAACAACTAGTCACGACGGTGGTTGCCATCATCATCATAGAGAATTGAAATAAGTTCATTTTATGCTTAAAGCTTCGCTGAAGGTGTTGTCTAGAAGGACGACGAAAGCTTTGCAATTAAATCGACCAGCTCAGAGAACACAATTAATTCAACAGAACAGATTAAAAGACAGCTTATGAAAGCTTTGAAAAGAATGAAAGCTAACCAATTAGTTGGCCATGGTATTTATGAATATATACCAAGGCCTTATGTTTTGTTAGAGATACACAATGTTGGTATCCCACTCAGTCTGATTTTAGATATGTCAGATTCTCCTATCATTTATCGCAAAATGCCTGGCTAGCAGAAATTCAATAACCTGTAAGAAAACAGGTGTGTCTAACTACATAGAAAGTATCATTAATGTAAGTGTAGAATTTGGATACTGTGTAGAATTCGATTCCATATTAGATAAGTTAATTTTTGAATATCACACAGCGATGCAGTATTAACAAGTGGATGATATTTCGCACATAAATTATTGCCCATAATGATATCAAATTGATAACAAACGCGCATTTAATAACTGACATCCAGCGATAAAAATTCCCTCTTGACATGGAAAACAAGACTAAAATTCCATTTCTTGATATCGAACTAAAAAGAAGAGCAGACAGACGCTTAAAATGGTCTACTCATAAAATGCCTGCATGGAACTGGCAAGTGACACGTTTCTACAGCTGAATACCGGTTGCACGAAAACGAAATTTAATTAAATCCCTCAACACTAGCAATCGATGTATCTGTAGCTTTGATACTCTAGAAGAAGAACTGGATCTTATGAAGGAAATTTCCATTCAAATAGATGCCCGCAAGATTTACTGACATGAAATCAAAAATTCAGAGGCATGAGGCATCATCCGTGGGAAAAAAGAAACTTTATATGAATCTTGATTTCAAGGGTGACTAAATTTGTGATTTCCTTAAGAGAAGTATCTCAACACATCTTTGAGAAGAAAAATCTTTGCAACAACGCTAAGAGTGATGCAGTCATCCACCAGTCTACAGAAGTCTGGGAGACGCGTATACTGTCTAAAAGGGTTCAAGAACACTGTCCCACAGAGTTGCAAAAAAGTAGCAGTGGCTCTATAAGGAAACCTTATTAATACTGGCCACTCTATCTCAACAAATTTCTTTCTTCATATGTACGCACCATTCTATTTTATCTGACAACACTTTTTAAATCGAAACGACATATTTTTACTAGTGTTTCGATATTTGTATTACCTGTCATCAAGTATGATAAAAATGTCCCACGAGTGAGGTTACTACAGAAAGTGATATCCATCAAAACATATTCACTTTCTACGCTCTAAGTTTATCGAAATTTTGTATCTCTAATGTGAGTAAAACCTTCTCATTAATGAATTGACAGGAAGTAGGTAGTGCAATACATTTATTTGCCTTAAACATGTACTAAAACTTAAACTATACAAAGAATTGGTTTAGTCTTCCAGAGTATGAATTCGGTTATAAGAAGAATTTATTTATTACAGCACACCTAATTAGTGTTAATCATAGTCAAGTTGTTTCTTTTCATTTCCTAAAATAAGTTCCATACAACGTTTTTTGTAATTTTTACTTGTTCACCTTCAAATCACAATTCCTTAGAGCCTAACCTGTAGATCATCCTTGCTTGTTAAATGATATAATGGCGTAAATTTGTAAGCGTTATTTTCTGTAAATGAAATAGGCGATCTTTATGAATCCAATATGCAAAGACAGGAAGATAAAAAAGGATACTAATTAATTCATACGGAGTCATCAACATCAATAGTCAAGGTTATAACCGATGGTAATGACATTTCTGAAATGCATGCATAGGCACAAATAGGCAAATAAAATATGGTGAATACATACACTTATCCATACACACCTAGTAGTGAATAACACTAAATTCTTATATTCCTTTATCTGAAGAAAGAACAGAAAGGAATGTATAAAACATGACCTTCAATTCAAGTGTAATCAATAAAATATTTTCTCCCATTCACAATTTTTTCCTCTAGTTAACAAATGGAGGAAAAATGTGCTACTAAGATAGAATGAATCAATCTGATAATAACATATGTATACAGACACACACATATACATGTAGTTAGTGGTAAATGAGATATATATGTATGTATGTATATATATATACATATGGCACACACACATATATATATATATATATGTATATATATTCATCTGTGTGCCGTTAGTGTCTGAGAGAAAAAAGTATATACATACGTCAATTCCATTTCTACAGTGCAGTGTAATACACTTGGTTTTCTTCAAATAGATCACATGAAAAAAGGTGGAAGAGAAAGGAGAAGAAGAAGGAGAAAGGAAAGAAGAGTGAAAAAAGCAGTGCTATGGAAAATTATGGTTGCAGTCAATTACCAGATAGATCAGACATAAATGATTATGGCATATATATATATATATATATATATATATATATATATGAATAGAATACATAGTATGTGAATCAAGGTGGATAGATCAGTTGTGAAGAGAACATGCCATTCCACCTAATGTTGTGTTAAAGTATGATGATGAAAAAGTTAACATGAGCATTTCGTAACAGAAAAGTAACCTGCGATGCTAAAGTACTTCACCACCATCTTGCGATCTATAATGTTTTAATTTATCCTTAAATATGTAATAAAATATACACCATCTTATAACCGACAGGGACAAATTAAATGAAAAGGTATTCAATAGAAAAAAAGGACCAGATTCGTAATACAAAATAATATCATTGTATTTCACAGGTTCTCATCATCTGCAGACTACCGACAAATTAATAGGGTCGCCATGGGTTCACCTCACCTATTCTGGCCGATATCTGTATGGGTTATCTTGAACAGACGCGACTGAGTTCTGATATAAATGAAATAACCTATTATCGCCGATATGATGATGGCACGTTTGTTGTTTGTAACGACATCAGTATTATTTAATCATCTTATTGAGATCTCCCCAAACATTAAATTCACTATGGAATATGAATACAACGTTGAGTTCAATTTCTTAGACCTGAATGTAAGAAGAAGAAACGATGGTACGGTCAAAAAATTCATCTGAAGAAAAGAAACCTGGATCGGACGATCTCTTCACGACAATAGCTTCAGTTCTATAAGCTATAAGCTTCGATTAGCAAGGATACTGTACAACGGAGTCAGAAAGTTATGTTCGCCCAACAAGGTGGAAGAAGAATTAAGCCATCTTCAAAAATGCCTAGGGGAAAATGACTCCCCAAAGGAATTTATCCAAAAGTACAGCAAAGAAAAGGACGAGAAAACGAAACATCCAAATGTTGGAAAGAAGGAAGTATTTATTTGTCTCCCATTCAAAGGAGAAGCAGTGTCACAAAAGATTGACAAGAGAATGAAAGGAGCAATAAAAAGATGCTTCTCTGCAGCTAAGCTGGTAACGCTATACAACACTCAATGTTCTATACGCCAATCCAAACTGGATCAGTTTACCCTACTGATGTCACCTCCAGCTGCGTTTATAAATTTACAAGGACAGAAAACAGGGCTTTTATCCAGTTTTCAGAGCATATTCCAAGAAACTTATGTCTAAAAGGAAACAGATATTCACAAAGTTCAATTACCAGACACCTTGTGGATACGGGTCGTTGCGTCGAGATTTCTAAATCTTTCAATATATATTAAGCATACAAAGGACAGCAAATTTACTACGACTTGCTGAAGCAATTGCAACTAGGCGTTTCAAACAAAACTTATGTATACAGAAACAGAGTGTAATCAATCTCTCATTCCTTTGGTAACCACAATTTGATTACACTGAATAGCCATACGTATTAGTGATTTCAACTCGCTGAGCATTTCTATTTTGGGAGCATATAAACTGATGGTGACTTAAGCCAAAATTGTAATGCTTATATTCCGTTTCTCTACTACTATTCAAACATTGAAGCATGTTATTATCATTATTTATGACGACTGTATTTTCAGACAGTTTGCAGCTGATGAGAATCTGTGAAGGAGAATGATTTCATTTTATACTGCAAATCTCGTCTTTCTTTCTTTATTGAAACAAATGAAGAGAACCAAATGTATGAAAAGTTATTCCATACAGATACATCATCAGTTCTAATTGTCAAGTTGGGAAGCATACTGATGACAGACAAGAACAAATGATTGAAATGAACAAATAATAAGTAAAAAAAAAGTAAGGTGAAGGAATCTAATACCTTAAATCGAATTAAGATAATTTTAGAACACAACTTACCAAAATACTACGTATTTGTTTGCTTAAATCGTGTTCTGTGATTAAGGATGTGTCAGTCTGTATCATTAGGGTTTTCAGTTACTTCGTACTCAGAGGCAAAAGTCAGACAATGTTTTTATGTGAGATTAGTTTCAGTTGCTTTCCATTTTCTATATATATCAAAACTATCTATTCAATGTAAAGTTCATAAAAAATAAATTCTACCTGCCAAATGGGTTCTCAGTTTAAAAGCCGCCTAACCTACTTTTAGAGTCGGCAACAGGGTAGTATCATTAGCCCTTACACGATCAGTGTAACTCATAACCCCGGCTAACTGAATTATAGCTAACGTGACATATCAATAATATTTATTTAAATTGATACAGATATATAGTATCTTATAAGCAATTCATTTCAAATCAATAAAACAAGACCGGTTACATTAAAAGTACGGAAATTTGTCCGTCAAAAATAAACCAATGAAATGAAAGGAGTGCTATGGATACACTTATCGTAGAAAACACAAAGTTTAGGAAAGCATATTTACCAAACACTCGATTTACAGAAAAACGATGTCATAATAAAAGTAATGATGATACTAATAGTTGAGGCAATAATTCCATAAATGTGTTTAATGATATCGAGTGTTAAAAACTTCATGCACTTCTTCCCATTAATAAATTTGAATAAAGCAAGAACGACAAATGTACCAGAATAATCTGAGGTCATTTTCTTTACTTTTATTATTTCGTGGATTCTTCTCAACTGATGGGTACGACCTGAACAATACCAAAATTATAAATTAAATTAAAGATGTGGACATACTTTTTTTACAACGACAGTGAGTAATCGATTGGAACTGAGAGTGACACTGGTCAGAAATAATGTAAGTTGTTGAATACTTAAGAGTGAAAAGGATCGACTATGTATAGAGCAATTGCATGATCAAGCTTGGAAACAAAAGGACAGAGTTCAACAAATGTTTTGTGAATAGAAATAAAGTTGAACTAGAAAGAGTGTAGAAAGTAATGGGTTATGCAACCACAGAAAAACACATTTTTATAAAATAGACAAAAAGAGAGGCAGGATGAGTCATGTTTAGCCAAAAAATTCAAGTTTTCTAAACAGGACAGAAGATGACGTAGTGAAATTCCTGCTTAGTCATGTAATTTCTTCTATAGTCGGTCACTCTTAATTATTCAACAACTTACATTATTTCTGACCAGTGTCACTCTCAGTTCCAATCGATTACTCACTGTCGTTGTAAAAAAAGTATGTCCACATCTTTAATTTAATTTATAATTTTGGTATTGTTCAGGTCGTACCCATCAGTTGAGAAGAATCCACGAAATAATAAAAGTAAAGAAAATGACCTCAGATTATTCTGGTACATTTGTCGTTCTTGCTTTATTCAAATCAAGTTTTCACTAGAAAGGGTCGAATTTATTGAACAACTGGTTAAATCTGACAACTCTCTGTGCTTTATTTCTCAGTGTATTTAATCAATTAACAGTCACTTATTCTCAAAAATCTTTTTGTCAATAATTTATAATTTACATTTTTGTGTGTTTTACAAAAGTTGAATTGATTTATTTAGTTCAAATTGCATCGGCGGTTCAGTGGTAGAGCACTCGCCAACCACGTATGTGGTCAGAGGTTGGATCCTCGGCCAACCCATTCTTAAACCTCGCTAAGCCGGTAAAGAGGGAAGGTTGGGCGTGAGGCTAGGCAACCACACCCCGTAAAAGTAAAACCACTGCTACTGAAACTCCAGCGCTTTACTTTGAAGCCATATGTTCCACTGAGAACATAGAGGAATACAGGATGGAGTTTCCTGGAGTTCTAGTGAGAAGTCGTGACCAGTGAGGTCCAACCAGTCAAGTGTGAGGATGGATTTCCCACCGATGACATTGGTTGGTGGTCGCACTAAAATCACGAAATGGTGGAAGTCACAATTCATGGGTCATTGAATCCGGTCCCAGTGGCTGAATGGTTTATGAACTCACCTTGTAACCGGAGGGTCCTGGGTTCGAACCCTGGCAGTGGGTGCGTACTGCCGATGAGTCCCAAACTCGGACGAAACGGCTGTCCAGTACTCCTTGGTTTTCAATGGTTCTCTAACTGATATGAGTCCGTGGTCAAACTCGTGAAAACAAATCTAAGCCTTACAAACCAACTCTTAAAAATATTATTTACTCTAATTTAGTATCACTTTTGGTTCAGTAGGTTGAACATGCGGAAATAAATAGATTGTGTATAATATTTTAATTGTCAAATCATGTGTAATTTGTGAATAAACCTTTTGACTACGCCTTCAGTTTATAAACTTAGCCAGATTTTCATTATGGGTAAAACATTTTAGCCAGATTTTATCAACTGAATGAACATCCGTTTAAGAATATCGTCAAAATGCATTGAAACCAGAAATGTAACTCCTATTGATTAGATTGTAAATCACACCGAAAATATTGTCATCATTTAATGAACAACATATTTCTTATTCAGTACCAAATTTTTTAATAAAATGAAAACTATACGCAATCTAGCACACACTTGTTTGTTAAAAAAAATACTAAATATTAATGTATTAATCACTGAACATTAGGGACAAGTTATTTCAGTATACTGGATAATGTCATCGAATACAATATTCTGTAGAAAAAGGGAAAGAGGTAATTCTTTCTCTGACAATCTACATTTCTCCTTTAATAATAAAGGAAAATAATATACGGAGTTTTTATTTCTTTGCAAGAGAGATAATCAAACATTAATGGAATCCACTTCAATGGATACAACACCACTCATAGTCACATATACTAGGCATTGTACTAGTCACCACAATCGAAAATGTATACTTAATGAATAATCAGCAATAATCTAATTAGCGAATAAGAAAACAAGTCTTGTCGTTTTTAATCACCATTTTGAATGTATGCCACATTTTCACTATAATGCATCAACGACCAGCGCTAATGTGATCGGTTGTTATGCGACTTCATCGAAATCTGTATTATTCAAATTCATAATTAAACATGAAAACTTAAAGCAAACTATTTAACAAATGCTGTTTGAGCATCTCAATAATACGTTAATCGCATTACTTTTATTCTTTTTAGAGCTTATTCGTCGAGAATTAGGGTAGGTGTCAATTTTTTCTCTAAAGAATCCTGTGTGTGCACAGAAACAGCAGCAGCAGCAGAAGAAGAAACAAAGAACTATACCCAATGAACAATAACAAATTTTTCTGCAGACATAATTGACTAAAATAATTTAATTTATTATAGAAACATATAATTATATACAATTTATGACGTTTATAAAAGACATGAGCAAAGCCCCCCCCCCAACACCTCAAGAGAAAAATTACCTTGGATTTTTCACGAGTAGCTTTTGAATAAAATCTTTGGCAAGATCACTAACATTTTCAATCTCCTCCCTTGAATAGTCTACAATACAATCGAGAATATTTTGAAATGTTTCCAGTTGTGTATCTCCAGCAAATGGTGAAATGCCAGTCAGTCTGCACGAAAGGAGAAAGACATACACAAACAAATAAATGCATAGATGACAGATAACAAGTGAATATTTGTTTGTTTGTTTTTAAAGATTAATTATTCAATTAAAATAATCAAATGGTTATAAACATAATTCTGTGATTAACACTTCCCTAATGTTTTTATAGTTTCAACTTTCATTCAGTTGAAATTATGTGATTTTCAAATATAACAGGTAATCATGAATGACATAAACACACACTTTCTGATGTGATAGGGCTGAAGTTAACAAAAAACCGCTAAACACTATAGTCTCCATACTGGATGAATCTGTTTAAAATAATTCTTTGGTTTTGATACTGAGAATTTTATAAAGTACGAGAGAACATGTGTGTATAAGATAACATTTCTATCTATCCAACAGTTAATTATAGGTTATCCAGCTTACAATATACGCGCCATACATATACCATTCATCCCTGCTGTAAAGTTTTCAATTGATTTTTTTGGCGTGAGTCGCTGTTCTTTATGTTTGCCTTGGCATAACAATTAAATAAAATGAGGAACCCTACAGTAAGTACAACAACTGGACGCGTATCATCTTAGAATAATATATACGCCAAAAATAATCATTATCTTTAGAACCAGCACTTGTTTCCGTTGTTTTGTCATGGATGTATTGTTTCTTGGCTTAAAAAGTAAGGTATCTGAAAGTCTTTGTGATCACAACTTGAATGCAACTCGTACATTTTAATCTTGCTGTAAACAATACTACACATTCTATTTCTTTCTATAACTAACGTATATCGTCATAGAAAAAAATTAACAGTATGTGCAGATAAATTATCATTATCTTTTTAGAAAGGTTAGCAATTAATTAAGTAATAGGATACTGAGTTTGTAGGAATTCGATTAATTTCAATGTAGATTTTGACAAGAACCGAAATAAGTTAAAGAATCTTTGCAAATCAATGAATACTGGACAGGTATTTTATTCTTGTTTAGAATTCTCTGAGAGTGAAGAAATACGACTCAACGAGAGATCGAACCCAGGACCTATGGCAATAGAAGATGATCACCATCAGCATTCAGCCACTGGGTTGAAGTCCAAGGACGAGTAAGTTCTACTTTTTGTTGATTAGCGTTTAAGCGAAATGCAAGACAATTTCACCAGTTAGCATCATATCTGACATGGTGGGTCCTACCGGTCACGACCTCTCACGAGAACTTCAGGATATCAAGCTGAAAACTAGTCACTCACTAATGGAGGGGACCATTATTTATATTTCGGACTGATCAGGATTCGAATTATTTTAATGTGCATTTCGTATTCATAAAATTAAAGAGGAAATAGTTCCAGATGTTTGGTTCCGAATGATTTCTACAATGACTGAAGATCAGGTAACATTTTATCAGGCTATACCGCATAAAGACGGAATTTCATAACGAGTAGTGTCCTTAACGCTATATACACATCTTAACTTACGGGAAGTATCAAAATAACTTTGAATCAACTGAATAGCAAAAATAAAGTCTATGAGAAGGACGAAGCCTCAACAGATAATAAAGCATTGCTATAATGCAAGGGATGGTTTCTTCATAAAATCAAGTATTGTTGTACATTCAGATTTGAGGTATGATAAATTCACAGTGAAAAATAGTTGATGAACATGAGTTTAAAAATGTAATGAATTATTTACTTTACTTCAATTTGACTTCAAATTGAAGTATGCGCTGAAGATGTCGCCTAGTAGGGCGATGAAAGCTTCGCAAATTAACTATCCAGCTCAGAGAACACAACCATATCACAATCAAGTCTTATAGAGGATGCATAATCATTCAACCATTCATTTACAGACTACTTATGAATAAGAACGAAATATATTCAGATAAAATGTTCACAACCTGTTAGTTTCCAAAGCTATTTTAACTATGGTGTATTACTGAAGAGAAAAAAAAAAAAATTTTGTCATTAATCGATTAATCAAAACTTTATGCATATCAACAGTGGACAACATATCTGTGAATTAATTTCAGTGCACTAGTTATATTTTCTTCAGAATAAATTAAACAGTCATCGAGAAAATTATTTAAAAAAAACACTGAAGTACAACTTATGTTCAAAGATAAGTCTTATCGCAAATAATACTTCATTACCGTGTACTAGGCTGTATGAGAACCTCTTAATATATTAAGAAAGTAAATAAATCCATCCACTTATCTTGACTGAACAGTGGTGTATTTGAGTTTTAAAACTGGATGATAGTTGAATTTTAAAGTTATATAGAGAATTAATACACTAACAAAATTGTTATGAATTATGATAGAGATGAAAGAAAAAAAACAAGTTGAAACAATAATATGTTCTAGAAATAAAATATTTAAACTACTTCATTGAATGATGATGGTCACGACAGTGATTATCAGGACACACAATTACATCATTCATAGAGAATTGAAATAAGTTCATTTTATGCTTAAAGCTTCGCTGAAGATGTTGTCTAGAAGGACGACGAAAGCTTCGCAATTAAATCGACCAGCTCAGAGAACACAGCTAAGTCAAAATCCTGTTTACGGATATTTTGTACCTAATATATATATATATATATATATATATATATATATATATAAAGTTTAAACTAACAAATTATAGTTCTACTATTTGAAAAATTGCTTAAAATATCCCACTTTTTCTAAGTGGTTTTTTGTTTTACAAGTAACCTACAAAGACGCATAGAGTGATTTGAAAGTTCAGTGTGTGCATGTGCATGATATGCGAAAATTTTTTTTTTTTAAATTCAACAGTTAATAAACGGATCGCGTCACTTAGATTATTGACGACACATTATATTTGATAGACAAATTTGCGTAACAGCTTACAACAAGATAGTTACATTGTTTAGAGTAGGACAACCAACTATTATTATTCCCTTGGGTTGTAAGCAGAACATAGAGTCTTCAGCGGCACATCTCCATTTCACCCTGTTCTCTGCATTCCTCTTTAGCTGGCTACCATGAATCCCTATAAGCTTTCATCTCCTCTTCATACGATCTCTATATCACCTTCGGATGCCCAAATCACCATCTGCAACTCCGTTTCCACTTGAGGGCCTGGCTCGCGATGTCACTCAACGGTCTTCTTGGAATGTGTCTCATCCATTTCCATTTCATTCAGCATATTTGTTAGGTAATAGGTTCTTGGTTGGTTCGTTTCTAGGGTTCTCTGTCCCTTACCCTTTCCGACCAGTTATCTGATCCTCACTGTGGAGAAAAGGCAGCCGCTGATGAAATTCTGAAGGCAGTTGGAAATGCTTTTGGAGATGCTGAAGATATGGCACAGAAATCTGTCAGTGCAGGTGGACTCTCCAAATTGTCAACTGAATAGTCAGTAATCTACTTCAGTCTGGTCACCCAGACAACAACCACGAGCACAGAGGCAGTGAGTGGCTATCATGATGTCACCAATAACATGCGAGGCTATAATGCAGTGGGAACCAATCTCCTCCTGCATGATTATGACAGCAAGATTCGACTCAAAATGAAGGGAGGAAAGAAGGTCAATCATTCCGTACTACGCACAATGCTGTAAATAACTCAGAAGAAGTGAAGAAGGGAGATTTTTATGGACAACTACAAACAGTAATGGGCAATATCCCAAATGGCGACATCAAAATCCTTATGGGTGATATGAATGCCAGACGAACTGAAAGCAGACAATACGGGAAGAGAATTCATCATGGATGGAGAGAGGACACCGAGCTCTTCAGTAATTTAACGACCAGAAGTAGACTTTACAAGCACAAAGACGTACCTAAAGCAACATGCGTTTCACCAGAAATCAAAGATTTCATGCAACCGGTTCCCTTTATTAGTTTGAAGAGAGAAAGAACGAACATGTTTGCAGGATAATACGAGCTCGTTTTATTTCGTGGATTCTCATCAACTGCATACATCCTAAACAAAATCAAATTATAGGTTTCAAGAAAGTTGTGGAACATACTTTTTCATAAATACTTTGAGTTTTAGATAGAAGGCATAAGGAACATAATTCCAGAATTTGATGTAGGTAGACAGATTATTCGGTGTCAAAAAACAACTAATTATATATAGTGGAATTGGATAAGAGGGGTAAGAGTTCAGATTTCTATTGGAAAACAATACAGATTGGTTAGAGGCATATTGCAGGGTCAGGGTCAGAGAACAAAGTAAATTTACACATCTTGTGGTGGAGAGTTTAAGAGGGTGGGGGTGAATAGTGAAGTAACATTTATAACTTAAACACACAAACAATTAAGTAGATTTAGAAACTTGAAGGTCAAAATTGAATAAAATGTTACGTAACAAGACAAACACACAGGCATACTGACAGAAAGGCAAAACAAAAATAAAATAAAATAGAGTTAGGGTTACCAAGGTAGTGAAAGATTAATCACACTATCTTTCTGTATACAAAGGTCTGGTCGAAATCTCTTGATAGCAATGGCTTCTGCGAAGCGAAGTAGCCGTGGGCTTCTTTGTGTATTGATTATTTTGAAGGCTTGGCTGATTTCTACTGTGTGTCCTGTGTCAATTAGATGTCTGACGATTGCACTTGATAACACTTTTCTTCCTTTTGTACGGAGACTCTTAGGAATGTGCTCAGAAAATCTAGTAGATGCTGTCCTCTCAGTCCTTCCTATGTACTTGCTTCCGCAGGTGCACGTGAATTGGTAAATGCAGTTGGAGTTGACGTGAGTAGGGAACTCATCTACTTTTGACTGGGTTAACGAGCACACAGTGTTGTGAAGTAGGATCAGTCTGGCGGCTGGGAACGTTCTTTTCAATGCACCTGTGATTCTTTTTTGTGTTCTTGTGGATACGTCTTCCCCTTTGTACGCTAGACAGATGAAAACTGGTTTCTTTTCAACGGTGTCGGGTTTCGGTTTGTGTACTTCTTCATTTCTATATTTTAATATGAACTTTCGAGGATATCCATTCTCGATAAGGTTCTTTTCGATGATCTCAAGTTCTTCTTCAATCTTGTCTT